TAAAATTCATTGGCCTGTAAAAGGAAGAAATGTTCACTCCAGATATGAACACCTTAGCAGAAGAAAACTTAAAGACGTTTTGAAATTTTGTTTCTTTTCTTTAAACACATATAATTTTTATTCTTTCCATATTAAGCTCTGTAAGTGAAGGGGAACATACATGGATCTTTTTAAAGATATTAAAATTGCCATTAGAAAACTGAAGCAGCAAGACAGCTCAGATTATGTGTGTTTTTCTGATAATTTTTTTTGTTTATTGTTTTAAAAAGACGTTTTCCCATCTTTTACAATAATTATCCAGTGAATCAGTAACTATAAATAAGCTATGTACAAAGTGCTTTAATAATAGCTAAGTAGAATGGGCATCTAATTCTGCCCAGCATGGTGATAAGAACAGGTATTGAGTATCCTATAAAGAATATTGAAGTTACAGACAGTTTCTAAGAGACAAGTTGTATTTCAAAAAGATAACTCTAACCGTTATGCAGAAGCACTTAACAGTGGTTCTCAACCTTGCTAGTGCTACGGCCCTTTAATACAGTTCCTCATGTTGTGGTGACCCCCAACCATAAAATTATTTCCGTTGCTACTTCATAACTGTAATTTTGCTACTGTTATGAATCGTAATGTAAATATCTGATATGCAGGATGTATTTTCATTGTTACAAATTGAACATAATTAAAGCAGAGTGATTAATCACAAAAACAATATGTAATTATATATGTGTTTTCCGATGGTCTTAGGCGACCCCTGTGAAAGGGTCGTTCGATCCCCAAAGGGGTCTCGACCCACAGGTTGAGGACCACTGACTTAGGAGGAGGATGAGTAAAACTAGATGCTATGCAGTGAGTTAGGAAGCTACAATAGCCTGGTAAAGACAGGATGAGGGCCTGGCCCAAAGCAGTGACAGACAGGTTGGAAAGAGGCCCCAGTTTACAGATAATTATGAAGTTGAATTATTATGTTGCCTCTCTAATATTTCATACAAAACTCACTGTAGCAATATGCGGGTGATAGCATAAAGACTGAACAACTAGTTAACTTTGCTATGTCCTTTGGGATTTTGTTAGTTTGCCAATATCTTTTTGTTCTTCCATTACCAACACCTGAATTTTGCTTCCCATTAAATACACTCTGGTTAAATCAATCAAGATGATTTGTTTCCCTCCATTTTCTTCCATTTAGACCAGTGGTTCTCCACCTTGGCTGCACATTAGAATCACCTGGGAATCTTTTTAAAATCCTGATTTCTGGGCCTCATCCTCCGGAAATTCTGTTTCTTTGTTACTAGGTGGGCCCCAACCCATAACAAAGAAACAGAATTTCCAGAGGATGAGGCCCAGAAATCAGGATTTTAAAAAGATTCCCAGGTGATTCTAATGTGTAGCCAAGGTTGAGAACCACTGATCTAGACCAATGAGATAGATCTTCTCTGGAATTTGTGATGGGGCTGGGGGTAGCATCTATTGGCCTGATAAGACTATGCTTCTCTTTTAGATTTTTCAGGTTTCCTTTTAAGTAAGCTAACCTTATATCTCCTATATTCTCCTTAGAAATTATTCTCTGACTCTGTTAGCTAGGGCAGACTTCTATTCCTTAAAAGGAAATTAAATAATATGAAAGTAAGATAAAAACAAATGAGTGAAGACATAACAGGGCCAAGATACGAATCCAGGTCTCTTAATACTCAGTCTAGTGGCTTTTGTATCATGTCACGATCCCTACAAATATTGAACAAGAGAAAATGTTCTTCAAACTTAAGAAATATATAGTATCTAACAGAAATGTGTTCTTCAACACTCGAATAAATTATAAAGTAAAGAAGAATATAGTAAGGCTTAGATCCCATGGGACAATGGCAAAGAACAAATTGGATATTGTGAATCCTAGGTCGTTATGATAATACTACCTTAGCCATGTCTGCGGATTACATGAAAATACTGAGCAAATCTAATTTAGTCCTGGGGGTCTAGCAGTGATGGATCACATGCCAAATTCTGGACCTTATCATCAAAATAATCTTGGAATTTCTGAACATTCACTGCTACTGCTGCTGCTGCTGCAAAATTTCATTTTGTGGTTTGTGAGTGAATTAAAAAACTTCCATCAAGACTTTAAATTGGTGCTTTTGCAAATAATAAAAAGCCTAGTTGGGTAAATTTAAAATCATCTTCTAGGTTCACTAAATGTGTAATAATAAAATTTAATGGAACCAGCAAGCTCTTTTCTGCTCAGTTTGCCCCCAAGTTTAGGTGATGGCCAGGCTCCTGTGACTGTACCTCAGTCTTTCTAGATTATGGGGATGAAGGAACTGTCTAATTTATCCACTAAGGAATCAAGCTAAATTTTACAATACATGAACTAGGTTGGGGTGTGAGCAGATTTTAAGAGAAACAAACCAACATATTGAAAAATCCTGGAAGTTGACACATACCAGTGCTGAAAACATTGGAAGATTGCCAGAAAGTATTTTGGCAGAAGATAGTCAAGTTTAGAAGAGCTAACTTTAGAATGAGGAAAGACAGTTAACTGGAGTAAAAGCAAAAACAAAGGTGAATAAGGGGGTGGGGATGTGTAAAGGAATAATCAGAGTTTAATTCAAGAGGAAACATTGACAATCCCTTTTTTTTTTAATGAAAAAAAGAGCACCCCCCCCCCCAAAAAAAAGTAAAAGTTGTGTGTGTGTGTAAAGGAATAATCAGAGTTTAATTTAAGAGGAAACATCGACAATCCCTTTTTTTAATGAAAAAAAGAGCACCCCCCCCCAAAAAAAGTAAAAGTTTCCTTTTCTACTTACTGAAGAATTACTGAAAATGAAAATCCACTGTAACTAAGCAACAACACTGACAATTTATCTAATTTAGTATGTGGTCTAATCAACAGGACAAAATAAGAATTTTGGGAAATAAACGCATCTTCCTTGACCCTGACCAAATATATCTAAAAACTACCGGCCATATGGGCCATATGTTCTCCAAGGCCCCTTGATGGAGGTGGCTTTTTTTCCTCATAAAGGCATTTTATTTAGATTCCAAATAATCCAAAGCAGAGAAAAGAGGCAACAAGTTATTCCGTCCTCTTACAAGCTGGGCCCCCAAGTCTCTGGCTCCAGCCAGAGGTGCAGGGGACCAGGCCAGGGTCCAGGTACCTCAGGCCACCATGCACCCCTCCCCACCCGGGGCCCTCCTCTCTGAAGTAGAGGAAAAACCCAGAACTAATACAGGAAAAGAAAGCGAGACATAAAAGGAAACAATCCAAGGAGACAGGCAGCACAAACCTTGGGTGCGATAGCTCCGGTCAGGAGGTGCCCCTTTGGCGCACACGGTCCGGCCTGGTGAGAGATAACTTGCAAATCTGTGCGTCTGGGGACTTGGTGTCAGGCCTCCAAGTGGCCACCGTTTTCCTCTTAGTCCCCGAAGCAGTGGTCGGCCTGGGCCCCAGCGTCCACTTCACCGTGTTCTCCTCGCAATGGACACGGGAGAGGTCTGAGCGCCCAAGCGTGGTTTGCACGGCCGGCTGGCGCGGGCGGCTTTACGCCCATCAGCCTCTGCGTCCGCGTCCCAGCACCTGCTTCCGGTGAGGCCTGCGAACTCCCCGCGAGCCTTTGCTCTCTTTCCACTTTTCTGTGTATCAGGAAGGCAGGTGGGAAGGTGCTGGGTTCCTTCAGGAGGGAGATGAAGCGCAGGCGGATAGTCCTGAGGTTCCGGGTGGCGTTCCTGCTCTGCGTGCAGCTCCGGGCTCTGCGGTGGAGGCTGGGGCATGGCCACGGGGTGGGGATGGAGATGCACACGTGCCCTGAACCGAGCGGTCTGTGGGAACTGCAGGCGTGCCTTGAAGTAGTCACCATCCTGGTAGGTGTTGGGGGACCGAAGATGGCCACCTCCCCATTGTACAGGTCTCCTCCGTCCAACAGAGTCACCTAGAAACTCTCTACCGATTCCTCCTGCAGCCCCTAGAGCTGGAGCAGCAGCGCCTGCTGCAAGCTGGGCACCAGCCATCTGAGCAGGAAACTGCTTATCTTCGCAATGCAGGTGGCAGGAGGGCACAACAATATTTCTAGATGTATTCTTTAAGTATACAGTTAATTTATTTGAGACATTGTTTATGAATTGAGTTACAGAATAAATAATGTGAGAGGAGGTGGTGAATTAATTGTGAAAAGTATTTCACAGAAGATAGCATTTAATATAATGGAGTAACCTAAAAGTTTAAAAAGATGAAGATAAAGGAACTTCCTTGATAACCAACGGGAAAGTAATTTCAGTTCCTATATATTGAGTTTATTTCCCTCCTATAAAAGATTATTTTGTTTGTGTTTTTGCTTATCTGGATAACAATCCGTGGCAGAGGTGTAATATGTTATAAATATGGCTTCACGGTCTTTGCCTTTCATTTTTAAAAAAACATTATTACTTTTATGTGCTATGGAAAGTTACTTTAATAATTAAACAATGTAAATGTACTATATTATCTAGCTTGTATTATAGGTGCATTCGGAGTACAAGTAAAAGTTTTAATTATCAAAATTGGAGAATAAAAGTAACTTCTACACCAGATATGTTTAAAAAATTGTTAGTTTACAAACCTAAATTGACGTTTCTTTCTTTAAACATTTTTTAAATTAAATTTATTGGGGTGATACTGTTCGACATGACCATATAGGTTTCAGGTCTGGGTTTCTATGTTACATGATCTGTATATTGCACTGTGTGCCCACCACCCAAAGTCAATTCTTCTGTCACCATATTTTAGGACCCCCTTCCCTCTGGCAACCACCACACTGCTGTTTGGGTTCACGAGTTTCAGTTTTATATTCCACATATAAGTGAAATCATATGGTTCTTAGCTTTATCTGACTGACTTATTTAACTTAGCACAATGTTCTCAAGGTCCATCCATGTTGTTGCAAATGGCAGTATTTCATCCTTTCTTATGGCTGAGTAGTATTCCATTCTTCTTTATCCAGTCCTCTATCACAGAGCACTTTGGTTGTCTCCATGTCTTGGGCACCATGAGTACTGCTGCAATGAACATAGGGGTGCATATATCTTCGTGAATACATGATTTTGAGTTTTTTGGCCATATACCCAGGAGATGGATTACTGGGTCGTATTTTTAATTTTTTGAGGAATTGCCAGATTACTTTCCATAGAGATTGTACCAGATTACATTCCCACCAGCAGTGAATGTAGGATTCCCTTTTCCCATAGCCTCTCCAACACTTGTAATTGCTTGTCTTATTGATAATGGCCACTCTAACAGGGGTGAGGTGGTATCTCATTGTAGTTTTGATTTTCATTTTCCTAATACAAATTAGAGAAATTTGATTTACTAGTGAGATTGAACATCTTTTCATATCTCTATTGATTGTTCGGAAGTCTTCTTGGGAGAGATGGATTTTCAGGTCCTCTGCCCACTTTTTTATTGGGTTGTTATTTTGGTGTTGAGTTTTATGAGTTCTGTATATAATTTGGAAATTAAACCTTTGTTGGAGCTACTGTTTGCAAATATCATCTCCCCTTGGTTGGCTACCTCTTTGTTTTGTTGTCAGTTTCTTTTGTTGTGCAGAAGCTTTTTAGTTTTACATAGTCCTTTACTTCCCTTGCCTTTGGGGTCAAGTTCATAAAATGTTCTCTACGGCCAAGGTCCATAAGTTTGGCATTTATATTTTCTACCATGTAACTTATTGTTTCAGGTCTTATACTTAGGTCTTTGATCCATTTTGAATTAATTTTTGTACAGGGGGACAAACTGTGATCCAGTTTTATTCGTTTGCATGTGGCTTTCCAGTTTTCCCAGTACCATTTATTGAAGAGACTATATTTACTCCATTGTGTGTTTCTCACTCCTTTGTTGAAAATTATCTTTCCATATGCATGTGGTTTTATTTCTGGGCTCTCTATTCTGTTCCATTGATCTGTGTGTCCGTTTCTCTGCCAATACCATGCTATTATAATTATTGTAGCTTTGTAGTATAATTTGAAGTCAGGTAGCATGATACCTCCTGCTTCGTTCTTTTTTCTCAGAATTGTTTTACCTATTCGGGGTCTTTTATGGTTCCATATAAATATGCTGATTTCTCATTCTATTTCTTTAAAAAAATGACATTGGGCCAAATGTCTTTAAACATTTAGACTGCTTATGAACTATTTCTAAATGTATTTAAGCTTTGCTTCAACAGTAAATATTTTGAAATGTTAATCTTTCTAAATCATTCCTCTATTCTCAAATAATCTCTAACACTGCTGTATTGTATACTAGTATATGAATCTCAACACAATATTTAATAATTGCCATCATCTGAGTACGCAGATGTCAACTATTAGAAAAATGTTGTAACTATAATTTACTATTTCTACCAACTATATTTTCTACAAGATATTGATGACCAATGCATTGGGTCTATTTGCATTGCATAAAAGGATCAAATTGGTTCGTTCCTCTGCAATTTTTATTTTTTTCATTGTTTGGAGAGAGACATCTACTTAATATAGCATTTTTTTAACAGTTACACCAATTTCTAACCTGAATGGAAAATGTGAAATAATGAAACACACATTCCTAGACTTAATTGAGCCTTTCTTATTATAAAATATTATAATGATTACATTATTTCAATGACTCAAAACTAAATAAAGATGTTTAACACAAAATATTTAAATAAATATCAACACCTGAATATAAGATACCTATAAGCTAAATTAGAGCTTAGCTCAGTGATGGCGAACCTTTTGAGCTCGGCGTGTCAGCATTTTGAAAAATCCTAACTTAATTCTGGTGCCGTGTCACATATAGAAATTTTTTGATATTTGCAACCATAGTAAAACAAATATTTATATTTTTGATATTTATTTTATGTATTTAAATGCCATTTAACAAAGAAAAATCAACCAAAAAATGAGTTCGCGTGTCACCTCTGACACGTGTGTCATAGGTTCGCCATCACTGGCCTTAGCTCAACAATGAATTTATTGGCGAGGACACTTGTGTTAGGGATTACTTTTGGTCTATTATCATTCCAATCATTGAATTTATAAAGTAAAAACCTTTCACTAACTATAGGCCCTTATCTGAAAAAAACTTTTGCTTTTTCCTCAATTCTTCTAATGAGCCCTATAATAACTCCACTGAATGACAGTTTTCCAAGAGCTAAACAGAATATAGCATTTTTATAAAATATGTTTTTAAATTGATTTTTGAGAGGAAGTGAGAGAGAGCAAGAGAAAGAAGCACTGATGTGAGACTGAAACTCAATTGGCTGCCTTCTGCACACCCTCACCAGGGATCCAGCCCAAAACCCAGGGCCCAGGAATCAAACAGGCAACCTTTTGCTGCATGGGACAATGCTCAACCAACTAAGGCACATTGGTCAGGGCAGGCTTCCATCCCTTAAACTCCTTCAATCTCTAATTATTTAATGTCTAATTTACATTGAGAGGATCTTCTTTTCTAAAATCTGTGGTTATACAACCAGATTATCTTAAAAGTCCTTAACTGAGGCTCCTAACTTTATCCCTTCATAAAATTAGAATTATTCCAGTTAGGAAGGATAATTTGTAATAAAGATATACAGATAAATACTCCAATAATTTGGGGTCTCAAGAGCTGAACAATTCTGTTTGGGAAAGGGACCTAGTTTTTAACAACTCTATGCAATTCACTTACCATCTCTTGTTTTTATTTTCTTTCTTTATACAAAAATTGAGCAAGATGTTCCTTTGGGTTATTTTAAGCTGTTATATTTCATTCTATTCTCAAGAGTAAAATTCTTGAATTCATGAAGGTACGACTTTCCTAACTTTGCATGGATTATAAACCTATTATGTGTCAGACTTCATGATAGACACTCTTTTTCAAAGTAGAGTTTATTTTTTTAGGATAGTTTTAGATTTACAGAAAAAAAATTAGGTGATAAAACAGAGTTCATTTATGCCCTGCATTGCAATATCTTCTTTGTTTATATCTGACATTAGTATGGGTCATGAACTAACTTAAGTCCAAACTTTATTCAAGTTTTCCTTAGTTACCTTACATAGCTAACCTTTGAACAAAACAGGTTTGAACTTCATGGGCACACTTATACATGCATTTTTTTTCAATAATTACATGTGTGGGGAGAAGCTACAGTGTTTTGGACAGGCTCAAGCCTTGGACTGTTGAGAGGGCACAGTCCTCTCATTGCCACGTGCAAGTCCCAGCTTGGAGGGCAGAGCCCTACCTGCACAATTATAGCCAACAGCTGTAGTTGTAAGCTTGCACCTATGGTCTGAACACGTGGCCCCACGTGCCTGAGTGATGTAGGCTTGATAGAGGTCAGTTGCATGTAGTTGAGTAGGATTGAAACCCATGAGAATGTTGTAAACATCTTGATCACGCCCTTATTCTGCTTCGTGGCATCTGCTATAAAATAAAGACATGGCTTGTGGGCATTGTCACTGTCTCTCAGAGAAGCAAACTCCCACCAAGACCCAGCTTTCATTCTCTTGTCTTTTCTAAGCGTTTCAGCCACCCCCACTCAGGTTCACCCTTGGCCATGCTGGCGCGGCACATACATGCAGTTCTGTAAATGTATTTTCTCTTTGTTATTATGTTCCTTATTAATATTCACTTTTCTCTAGTCTCCTTTTATTTCAAGAACAGAGTATACAGTCCATGTAACATAAAATATGTGTTAATTGACTGTTGATGTTATCATTAAGGCTTCCAGTCAACAGCAAGCTATTAGTAGTTAAGCTTTGGGAGAGGGAAAAGTTATAAGTGGATTTTTGACAGCACAAGTGGTGAGCACCCCTATTCCCATGTTGTTCAAGATCTTTTTCTGTTCCAAGATTTTGTTGCCATATCTCTTTGGCTCTTCTTGACTGCCAATTTTTCAGATTTTCCTGTTTTTTTATGACCTTGACAGTTTTGAGGAATACATGTCAAGTATTTTGTTGAATGCTCTTCAGTTGGAATTGTTTTTTGTTGTTTGTTTTTTCTGCATAGTTAGATTGGGGTTGTGGGTTTTAGGGAGGAAAATCATGAAGATAAAACCATTTCATCACATCATATTAAGGATACATCATCAACTTATTTCTTACCTAATGTTGATGTTGACCTGGCTGAGGTAGTGCTTGTCAGGTTTTCTCATTGTTCATTTTCTCCCCTCTCCATGTTGTTTTTTTAAAAGGAAGAAAATCACTATACATACCTCACACTTAAGGAGTTGGAAATGTCCCCCTTCCAAAAAGACAGTGTACCTGAATAAATTATTTGTAATTCTTCTACAAGATTTGTCTTGTCTCCCCAAGTAATTTATTCATTCATTCATTCATTCATTCAATTATTTATTTATATCAGCATGGACTCGTGGGCATTTATTTTATACTTTGGATTATAACCCATCCTTTATTTTGTTGTTCAAAACTGTCCAGGTTTGGCCATTTCTAATTCTTTCGTTTGGCTCTGTTAACCCTTCAACATACCTGGTCAGTGGAGAATTTTGTTTTATTTTGTTTTGAGCACTTTCTAACTTAGATATTTCAGGCTGCTATAATAAAATACCATAAATTAGGTAGTTTACAGATTTTAAAAAATTACTTTTTTATCTTTAAACTGGAAGTCCAAGATCAGGGTACCAGGATGGTTGGATTCTGGTGAGAACCCTCTTCTGGGTTATTGACAATTGACTTATCATATTATCCTCTAATGGCAGAAATACCTAATACCTCTCAAAAGCCACAATTCCAAATACTATCACACTGAGGATTAGATTTCAATATATAAATTTAGGCGGTAGGTACAAAGTTTAATCCATAACATTTCCTTACTTTCTAGCACCACATAATGATCCAGACCCACCTTACATAATTCCTGACCCAGTCCTAGAATCAACTATCTATCCAAGAAGCCCTGGTTCCATTTGTTGGAGAAGGGGATTAGAAACCAAAATCTGGGTGCTAGATATACTTGTTGCTACTGGAGTGTTATTGAATCTAGGATTTCTCAGTTGACAGTAAGAACTATATTTGGCTATACTTCCCTGTGTACAATATATTTCTATATGTAACCGTCTATTTCTATATTAAGCTAAACATGAATTCATAGTGATGTCTCCAGCTCTGATCCTTTACCATACAGATCATTGTAGCTCTTCCCCTTGCTTATCTCTAACCTCTACACTTTATTTAGTTGTTCAATTCAAACACACACATAAACACACACACACACACACACACATTTTAGTTGTTCAGTTGTTCAATTCACTCCCCCCCTACCCACTCACACACACATATTTATATATAAACACTGTTAACTCTTACCCCTATAGGGAACAGCTTTGTCAACTAAAGTACAGTGTTCAGGCACAGTTCTTTTTGCCTTAAGCATCATAGGCTCCACTGTTTTCCAAATTGATTTATATAAGCACCTGTTTCTCTAATTTCTTCATTGAGGATTTTTTCATACAGTTGTAATATTGACAGATTCTTTTGTCACAATTTGGATTCTCCAATATGCTAGATATTTTTTAATATTTGCATACATTAAGGTTTACTCTTTGTGCTAAAAAGTTTATAGTTTTTTTAATAAATGCACATTATTTATTCATTATTACAATATCACACAGGATAGTATCACCCCCCCCTCAAATAAACTGTTTTTAACATATTAGAGGCTTCTTCCCTCTTCCTGAACTCCTGGTAATAACTAGACTTTTTTTAATGTCTCTATTAGTTTTAACTTTCCCGGAATGTCATATAATTTGAATTATATAACCTTTCCAGTCTGTCTTCTTTCACGTAGAAGTATGCATTTAAGGATGCTTTGTGTCTTTTTGTGGGGTGATAGCTCATTTATTTTACCACTGAATGATATTTCATTGTATGAATGTACCACAATTTGTTTATCCATTCACTGATGAAGGATATCTTTGTTGTTTCTAGTTTGGTAAGATGTCCAGATCCCTTGCTCATTTTTAAATGGGTTATTTGTCTTTTTATTGTTGAGTTTTAGGAATTATTGGTATAGTTTGGATACCAGTCCTTTACCTGATATTTAGGGCAAGAGAGACTGGGTGGTGCAGTTCACAGGGATAAAACTCACAAAGCAAAGAAGACCAGAGGATGGGTCTGAGTTGGGGATATTGCTGGCAAACAGGGCTCCAAAAGAGCGAACAAGCATCATGGATTGTTTTCATGCCAGTGCATATGATCTCTTTTTAAATTTCAAAGCAATGAAGCTAACAGAATAAAAAGGTTAAAATTTAATTTTGAAAAACTTCTTGAGCACTAATTCTACTATTTTGCTATTTTTTCCTAAATTCAAACTTATCCTATAGGCACCAAAATTTACATGAAATATGTAAACTTAGAAACTGACATAATGTAAACATTACCTAAATCTATAAACTTTATTTCAAAATCAATTTGCATAATATGTAAACAAACAGGCTTTCAGTCAAAGTTTAATCAAGTTATTAAATATTAATATAAAACTGACATGTCTTCTAACTGCTACTGATCAAAAAAAAACCTTTAATTACTTTGTGATTTCAAACCTCATTTGTCTTCTTCAAGTAACTGGAAAATATTCTATAGATAAAAATTATAAAAGTCAATTTATGAAATGTACACTTACTTTTAAGCTTATCTCAAATAGAGAAAATACATTTTCAACCAATTATCTCTAAAGTTATTTAAACTCTCTCAAAAATTTATGTTAATCTTATTTAAGATTTCAAATACACTTAAAGATACTTCAATGTTATTTGGCCAAAAATACTAGTATTTAAAATATTTAAACATTTCTAATAATATTTTCTGATATAAGTATGTCATAGTTTTGTCTTAAGATAAGGTAATCATAAAATTGTCATCCAAAGAAGTACAGTTTTAAGAACAAAAAGGGACACTAATAAAAATCATAATGATAATAATAATGAGACAATGTACATAAGCCTAGACCAAGGGTTAAATGTAACCTTAATTTTAAAAATGAGTAAAGCATTACCAAAATTACTCAAAAGTTTTCTAAATACCTAATGTTAACTAGCACAAATATAAAAATCTATCATTTAGAGTAGATACCTAATAAACAATTTATTTACCAAACTGCTGATACTCGATCTTATTAATAAAGGGTGAGAAACTAAATATAAGAGCATTTTTTATATTATGAAATGATTAAAAAATATATTGAAAATCTTTTAAAGGTTTTCCTGCTCCAAAATGATCACCTGACAAGTTTCCTACAAAACTACAGTTAAACATTAGTTGCTTTTGTTTAAGGCCACATTTTCCACAGTCTGTTCAAAGCATGTCAGATTGTCAAATATTACTGATTATGTCACAGTCTCAGGAAAATGTCCTACTTGGGGGTTAAGACCTTCTGATAGAGACATTTAATGATTGTTTTTCCTTTTTTTGAAAGTAAATGAGATTAATAGGCCTTACCTCTTGCCTGTTGTTTATAAGCAGGGGTAAGCCAAAGTGCCTCTTTCCAGAGATAAGATATGTATCTGCAAGAAGGAAGGAGAAAGAGAGTATTGTCTAAAAGATTGCCCCTTAAAACTCCTGTATTTAGAAATCATGTCTGTTTGATTTTTATAAAAGCAGGGGGATATTTTCTTTTTCTTTTTCTTTTTTTTAAATAAGACAAAGCATTGCTGAATTTCACCACAGATGCACAACAACCTCGGGCTATCCAGATGGGGGAAATGGGTTTGGCCAATTTGGCTCAGTAGATAAGAGTGTTGGCCCATGGACTGAAGAGTCCCCTGGTTGGTGCCCATGTGGGAGGCAACTAATCAACGTGTCTCTCTCACATTGATGTCTCTCTCTCTCTGTCTCTCCCCCTCCATTCCACTTTCTCTAAAACTCCATGGGAAAATATCCTAAGGTGCGGAATAACAAACAAACAAAAAAATGGGGAAACTATTCCTAGTTAATAGTATCCAGAGGAAATAGCTACTGAGGATATTTGCCAGACAGGCATGGCCCTCAATAGGGGAGCACAATTTTTACCTAGCATGGAGAGAAATGGTAAATGTTTTGGTAAACTATTGCTGAACAACACAGCACCCCAAACTTAGTGGTTTAAAACAACTTTTTTACTATTGTTCGTTTTTCCATAGTTTGAGTTCAGCTGGGTCGTTCTTCTGATCCACATGGTGTCAGGAAGGACAATAGTTATCTGGAAGTTCAACTAAGCTGTGTGGTCCAAGATAGCTCATTCACATAGTTTCCAATTGGTACTGTCTATTGACATGAGACTCAGCAGGGTTCATGAACCATAGTGTTCTCCATGTCGCCTTTCTCCATAGATTTGTCTTTTCCCAGCATTGCTACTGGATTCTGAGGGGCAGCAGGAGGTAGAACCTACTTGTTGGATTCTCCAGAAGATCTGAGAAGTTTGTGGTACAAGTTGTTTATTAGGAATCAACACCTAAGGGAGAAGAGAGGTAAAAAAATCTAAGATTGGGTAATGGAAAGGCAAAAATCAAACTGTGATGCAGCTGACTTTCTTGCAGACATCACACATCAGGACAAAATGTCCAGACCTTTATACTCTTTCTTTATTTAGTCCTCAGGAAGGGCATGACCTCAGATAAACCACGTTTCTACAAATGAGGCAGATGCTGAAGGAGCCAATACCTGACATCTGTCTGCTGTGCTGTCTTCATTATACACTGCTGAATAGCAAGTTCTTCCCTGAAGTCTGATCTGAGTAGCTCATTTTATATCTATCACATTTCCAATCACCTCATAGCCTGGGTATGTAAGTGCCCAAACTGCAATCTCCCCAATTCCACGGCCATTTGACTGATCAGAGTTAGTAACAAAAGCAGGTCATATTCAAAGAAAGGGGAGATAAACTCCATATTTTATATTAGTAGTTGCATGCATATACATCTAGAGGAGGAATTTGGAAAGGCACTCCAGCTTCTGCCCTCAGGCTGTAACAATTCACATACAAAGTAGACTCACCACCTCCCAAGACCCCCCAAAATTTCCATCCCATTGTGGGATCAGCTCATATCCAAGGCTCTTGTCATCTATATCAGAGCCAGAGATAGATGGGGTGGATTTCTGAAGTTCCTTAGGAATACCTGTGAACTAAAAAATAAATCACACCAAAGAAACCATCATCTGTCCCACACACACCCAACATACAATAATGATGAAAGGGCATGGCAGCCACAATGGAATCTTCCAGTATAAAAGGGTAAAACAGAAGACCCATAGCAATTCTGCAATCTAGCCGGGAGGTTACCATTATCTCTGTCTCCAGGGAAAGAATTTTTCCTGATTAGGGACAACTTATGCTCCCTGAGAATGGTTGCCCTGGCTCGGCCTCCTGTTTCATCCTTACTCTTCTGTAAGAAGTGGAACGTGTTTGCAGCTAAATAGTTTTCTCAGCTTGTATCCTGCTCATTGGAGATAAGAAACACAGAGGTCTTTTTCATTTAGAACTATCTCTGTCTCTTTTAGTTCAAACTGTTAAAATTTCTGTTAAAAATTCTGTCCTTCCTATGTATCTATACTATATTTTTAAGACAGACTTTTTAAGACCCACTTCTCTCTACTTTGGCCTTAGAAACAGGGCTGTGGGGACAATATCATTAAGATTCCTGAAATCCCTCTTTTCTAGCCAAAAGGGCCTAAAAGGTACTTTCTTAAGATTCTCAGAAACTCTATTGTCTAGTTGAGGTCAACAAGGCAAGCCCTTAAGAATCTTAAAAGCCCTATTGTCTAGCTGAGAGGGCCTATGTGACAAATCCTAATCTTTCTAAAGGTTGAACAAAGTCTTTCCACCCCACACTTGAACTGATCTTCATGCTGCGGCTGTTTTTCTGGCAGCACTCTGGATTTGCTCTTTACCCCAAGGCTTTAATTTACTTTGAAAACTTCTTGTGTGCTGAAAGAGTTGAATATGAGAATAATTTATGTTTCAACCAGGAAATCCTTATTTGAAATATTTCTTCTAGATCAGAGGTTGGTCAACTATGACCCAGAAGTCAAATCCACATTGTCACCTGCTCTTGTCAATTTTTTTATAATTGGAGCACAGCCACATTTATTCACTTACTGGATATACCGGTTAATAATGAGGATTTTTTCCAATAGATGGAGTTACACATATGTTGATATATATGCAGGTTGATATGTATGCTATTTTGTTGTATTGACAGCAAGCTTCAAAACTTCATGTGTCAAATTTGCTGAAGGTGTTAACATCATAGATATTTTTATGCTTAAAAATGTCGAATTTCGTGCCAAGAAAAGAGCATTTGCGGGAAGTTTTAATTCATTATTTTGAAGAAAAAGTTATTGTATACTTCGGGAAGCTTATGGTGAACATGCTCCATCTCAAGATACTTATGAACGCTGGTTTAAATGCTTTAAAAGTGATGATTTCAATGTGAAAGACAAAGAACGTCCAGGTCAACCGAAATAGTTGGCTGAAGATGCCTGTCAAACTCAAAAACAACTTGCAGAAAGATTAAATGTTGCTCAGCAAACAATTTCCATTCATTTACAAGCAATGGGAAAGATTTTAAAGGAAGGAAAATGGGTGCCACATCAACTGAACCGAAAAGTCATCAGTAAAATGTTGCTTCGATGGCATGAAAGAAAAGTCTTTTTTGCATCGAATTGTGACTGGCGATAAAAAAATGGATTTATTTTGAGTGTGACTGGTGATAAAAAAAATGGATTTATTTTGAGAATCCCAGATGCACAAAATCATGGGTTGACCCAGGTCAACCATCAATATCGACTGCAAGGTGTTATAGTTACAATTGTATTAGCCATAGGACCCCCCCAAATTTGAATATTGTAAACTGTGTGAAGTGACATAAACAAACTCTGTACTTTCCCAAGTGAGTGAACGCCCAAACTTGTACCCTTAGAACAGTGGTTCTTAACCTTGGCTGCACATTAGAATCACCTGGGAATCTTTTTAAAATCCTGATTTCTGGGCCTCATCCTCCGGAAATTCTGTTTCTTTGTTA